AGCTGTTCTGGGGCTTTTAGTCACACCTTGAACTCACTTGTCATCGGCCACATCAGGGGTCTCTTGGCATTCCCCTCTCATCCCCTTCTCATTATCCCTCAAAGCATGCTCAAGGGATTTTCAATGAGGAAGCCTTGCTAACAGCATGTATGCCGGTTCCTTACTGTCAAGTCATTCCTATTGAAACAAAAGCTATACATTTGGCAAGATTACAGTATTTTAATAATGCTGTGGGGTCATATAGAGTAATAGTATAGCATAGTAGGGTCCAAAAGTCTGAGACCACTATGTGAAAATGCTTCTGTATTGTATTTTTATAATAATTTAATAATAAAAAAAATGTATAAGTGATATTAGTGGTATAACAATTTAAGTGAAAAGTTAAAATTAACATATTGTCAAATGTCACAAATTTGGTTATTTGATTAGTGACCTATAGAATGTTTTATTGAAGTCTACATTTGTCTGTTTAAATAACGTTTATGTTATTTCAATATCGTAATATCAGGTAGTGGATGATTTTAATTGTTCATGCTCATTTTCCCTAGTTTTACATTTAGATTGCCTTTAAAAACTTTAAATACACTAACAATTTAATAACACCTTTAAATGTAATCTTTTGCAAATCTCAAAATAAATATCTATTTTTCTTACTACATTATAACGTACATCATAATGTTGTGATCCCCCAATTCCTTTGCCTTGTAGCAATGACAACAATTGATTTTAGTTTTTACTGTTTTTTAATTTTTTTATTTAAACAAAATAGAATAGAATTTTAATAATGTGCTGTTTATCAGTTATCGGACATGACGTGAAAATAATTATGGTAACACTCTACTCTACAGTAAGGTTTCATAACATTAGAACTAACAATGAACAGTACTTCTACAGTATTTATTAATCTTAGTTAATATATTTTTTTAAATCAAACGTTGTATCTGTTTAAACATTATTTGTTTATACACTTTGAACAAACAGGCAAAATATGCTGTTTCCGGCAAGATTTGTCCATCCAGCGAATCAGAAAGACTGAGAAATGCAGCAAAGACAAAGACCGTGGTTTATAGGAACTGATGGGGCATAAAGAACCCGTTTAGTTTGGCCGTAGTATTGCCCAGTTTCCCTTTACGTCACACATATCCACACCTCCCATGTGTAATGCCCCTCTCCCTGCTGCCCTATATCCTTCACAGCTTTTAATCAGCGTCTCAGCCTGTAGAAAGACACATACAGTTAGAGACGTTCTCCAGCATGCATGTGTCTGCATGCAAACAAGCTGCTTAAAATTGGCTTGCCATATTCCAGGGTTAGCATCTGATTTTGTGGATCACAGACAATGCTTTCACAGTTTTGAGCAGATGACTGTGGGAAACAACAAAAGTGTGGCACACACTGCTTTAATAGAGCTTAGACATCACAGGATGTCTGGTCCTTATATAGTAAAGCTTCCTGTCCATGTGGCCAGATTTACTCCAAATGCATTTCGGTGCTAGAAGCATGCAGTGTGACTGAAATACAAATGCAGGTGTATTGCTTGCTGCTTGAATATGAACTGTTAATAATTCTAGCATGCTTTAATATATTTGATAGTTTAGAACAGTTGTTGGCTGCATGCATGTGGCACTGCTTTGTCTATCAGACTTTAAACCATGTGAGTCCATTAATGGTTAATAAGGAGGAGGAGAGAGCAGAAAGTAACAGTAGTGGGTCTTTATGAAGGGGTAGGAATATTCTGCAAAGCTCAAAGACAAATATGACTTAATCTCCTATGGGAGTGTCAATCATTGTCGAATGTATTCAACAACTACAAAACTGTTAGATCATAAATCGGCCTATTTTTATCATCAAAATTATTTCAGTGCAGAGACCTTTTCAAAGCATCTTTCAAAACCCCTTCCACTTGCCAAAACGAAAAAAAAAAGTCTTTATTAAAAATAAATAAAAACATTTAAACCACAGATCATCTCATACCCCATGTTTGCTTTCCATCCATATTACATACTGCAATAACATTTGACGAAAAAAAAAGAAAAGAGAAATACACACAATGACCTGATTTCCTGTGCAAGACTCCCCCTTCTCACACAGATGCAAGGCTTCTCCACAACACAGTCAAAAGACTAGGAATGACGGAGGCCCCAGCGCCATGGTAACCGGGTTTGTGCAGCTTTAATCTCCTATGGGAGTGTCAATCATTGTCGAATGTATTCAACAACTACAAAACTGTTAGATCATAAATCGGCCTATTTTTATCATCAAAATTATTTCGGTGCAGAGACCTTTTCAAAGCATCTTTCAAAACCCCTTCCACTTGCCAAAACGAAAAAAAAAAGTCTTTATTAAAAATAAATAAAAACATTTAAACCACAGATCATCTCATACCCCATGTTTGCTTTCCATCCATATTACATACTGCTATAACATTTGACGAAAAAAAAAGAAAAGAGAAATACACACAATGACCTGATTTCCTGTGCAAGACTCCCCCTTCTCACACAGATGCAAGGCTTCTCCACAACACAGTCAAAAGACTAGGAATGACGGAGGCCCCAGCGCCATGGTAACCGGGTTTGTGCAGCTGAGCATTGCGCTTGGAGCAGTTGCTGTGGTTATTGGTGAAGGATTGGAACTGGCCCATTATCTCCACGCCTCCACCGAAGGCCTAATAGGTATGAACAATGTGGCCGCTGGATTTATTGAGCTAAGATGTTGTTTCAGCTGACATTTAATATTTATGATGTGATGGCAAGTTACTGTATGTACTACATGAACCTCCAGTTGTTTTTGTAGGGCAAGATGGTAGTTTGACTCAGTATCAGTAAATCAGTAAACTAAACTCAATTAAAGTGGCAATAAAATGTTTAATAAAAAATCCAACCATTCTTTTTATTCAAATAGGCCTAATAATAACATTTAATAATAATTTATTATTTTTAGCAGTAGTAATAACAATAACAAAAATAACATTATTTTTTATTTTATTACCTTTATATTATTTCGACTAGTGCCTTTTTTTATAAATCAGATTGAATTTTCCAATATGAAAAGTGATTTTATTCCTCACAAGGAACAAAACAGCCTCCCTGAGGAAAGCATATGTTGTATGGCCACTCTGTATATTGTGTGACAGATTCAGTTCAGGATTTGAACACAAAGACTTGTTTTTTCTCCTCAGTCCTCGTTAGTGTCTATGGGCTTGAATTCTGCAGATGTAGAGAAAGAGGTATGATCAATACTCATCCAGGTTTCTCTTCTCAGCTTCAGAATTCACTTGGAAAATACAGCTGTCAGCACCACGGCCAGCCCATCAATAACAACGTACAGTACATCTCCTCAAAGCCAGAGGACTGCACACACTATTGAAAACTCATCGGCTAAGGTATCTGCCTTTATACTTGTTCATCTGGAACATTTTACAGCAAGTGAGTAATAAAAAAACGTATACCTAAATGCCTACAGTTTGGAGTAGGTAAGGTTTTTATGTTTTTGAAAGTCTCTTATGCCCACCTTACGATCAAAAAATAGTCATGTGAATTTTTTTTAAACAACTGTTTTCTATTTTGATATATTTAAAAATTTGATTTATTCCTGTAATGGTATTTTCAGCAGCCAATCATTCTAATAGGCAGATTTGGTTCTCAACAAACAAGTATTATTTTTGTTGAAAGCAGTTGTGCACCTTAATATTTTGTGGAAACGGTGATACATGCATTGATGTACCATGTAGCTGATAATATATGTCAAATGAATACATTGTAATCCTATTATCAAATTGGCTATAAAGTGTATTGCTGATTGGGCAAATGAGGTTAGTCTGCCCTCTAGGGGTTATCAAGAGCTACTGCTGACTGATTTTAAGTGAGTAATAAAAAAACGTATACCTAAATGCCTACAGTTTGGAGTAGGTTAGGTTTTTATGTTTTTGAAAGTCTCTTATGCCCACCTTACGATCAAAAAATAGTCATGTGAATTTTTTTTAAACAACTGTTTTCTATTTTGATATATTTAAAAATTTAATTTATTCCTGTAATGGTATTTTCAGCAGCCAATCATTCTAATAGGCAGACTTGGTTCTCAACAAACAAGTATTATTTTTGTTGAAAGCAATTGTGCACCTTAATATTTTGTGGAAACGGTGATACATGCATTGATGTACCATGTAGCTGATAATATATGTCAAATGAATACATTGTAATCCTATTATCAAATTGGCTATAAAGTGTATTGCTGATTGGGCAAATGAGGTTAGTCTGCCCTCTAGGGGTTATCAAGAGCTACTGCTGACTGATTTTCAGCATTTAGAAACTCAATTAACCTCAAGAAGTTTCATTTTACCATGCAAATCAAATTGTTTTGGAGAAAGATGAAAAAATTAAACTGGAGTTTATTAAAGGTAAAAGATACTCATTTTAAGACCAGTTCAAACTCCTTTAGCTCTTTTAAGAGATATTTAAATATATATAAAAGATAGGCCTTGTGGATTTTTATTTAATGAGAAATATTCACAATGGCAGCACTATGTATAAGACCATAAAGCAGCTTACTTTACACAACTTATTTTTCCAAACTGAGTTTCATTGCTGGTGAAATGACGACACGCAACACTGAAAGTTTATATGAGGGAAAAGATGAGCGTTTTTTTTAATCTGAGGAATCAAAGTAAAAACAAAATGTCATATACAGCACAAGTACTGAAAGAGCAGTTAGGCTGTGTCTGTTCTGCACTCATATTTTACATTAGCACAGTTCTAGAATCCATTTTGCAAACTCTGCTAGTACCTTAGAGCGATTTCTAAATGATTTCAAAATCATATACTTACAGTTCTGCAAATATATACTGTACATACATAATATTAATATAGAAATATGGTTATCTAATGCCATTTTAAGCAGCACTTTTTTTGCACAATGATCAATGTAAAGAAAGTTAGGAAACAACTATTTCTTTTTTTTGAAAGGATACACAGTGCTAATTTGTAAAACCATATACATGAATCCAAGCAGAAATGTTTACGTAATTTTGGGCTGATATGGAGACACTGAAATCACATTGGCAAAAACCCTGAAGTGCTTATAAATTATCTTCCGGAATGGCAACAAAAGTAAAAAGGCATGTATCGGTAAGTATTAAAAAAAATGCACTAAAAATATGAATTAGTTAAACACCATTTCATTAAAAACAGAAACGGAATACTGTATGCAATGTATATGTTATGAAAGAAAAAAAATCTACAATAACAAAACATTCAATACAGAATTAATTTTAAAAAGGCCAGATGGAGAGTGGAATGTGTTGGTTTTGTCTAGATAGACTGCTGAAATGTTTGAAATAAATATACAGTCAATTAAATTCAGGGTGGCGGGCAACAAGTAAACAATCTCAGAGGAACCGCCAAGAAGAATTTGTAAATATCGAATTGTGGTTTTTGGAATCAGTGTTTTTACTTTTCATATTCATCCCTTTTTAAAAGCAACTTAAGAACTTGTTGATCATAAACTGGTATGTTTAAGAATGTTAAATATCATGTTTACATTGCCATCTATTTTGGGAGCACGCAGCTTCTTTAAATCCACACACACAGACACACTCTCTCTAACACACACGAGATGATGAGAAGACATGGTTGGGTTTAGTCGTCCTCCTCTTTAGCTTGAGAGAGTGCTTTCTCTGAGCTCGCCGAGCCCTCGAAGCGCTGGGAGGCGATGGCAGCTTGATGGGACATGCTCTTCCTCACAACGTCTCCCTTTCTCCATAGTGTAATCTCCTAAAAATCCACAAAAGTGTCAATTCATACACAAAACAGATCATGCTCTGGGCATTTAATAGTTAAAATATCACTACTGCTATGGAAACGAGAATGAACCCTTAAAATCAAAGTGGTCAAAGTAGTTATTTCTGGACATCAATAATGAAAATTAAAGTGCCTTTGATCATATAGTCTTAATTGTTTTCACATTTAGTTTGCTATTTTTTATTTATTAATTTAGTAAGAAAGTAAAGACCAACCTGTTGTTTGAAGTAACGTCTCTCTTCTTCATCAATGAGTACAAGATTCAGGTAATAACGAACAGAGAATTTCTTATTAATGTCCCTCATGGTGGGCGTCATCTCGTACCCAGCCAGAAAAAGACGGATAGGGATGGATTCACCTAAAGCCAGTAAAGATAAAGTTAAAAATCAGTACACTCCATTTCAACATTGAAAATACGAGTCACTTGTAAATGTTGTATGTTTCACATTAATCCATCAGAAACGTAATCCTTATAAACGTGTTATATCATTATATCAGCACAATCTGACAGGTAAAATAAAAATAAAATTCAGGTGCATTTCAGTTTAGCTACATACCTGTATAGAAATGAATTTGGTTTGTTAGTTGAATCCAAGCAGAAATGTTTACGTAATTTTGGGCTGATATGGAGACACTGAAATCACATTGGCAAAAACCCTGAAGTGCTTATAAATTATCTTCCGGAATGGCAACAAAAGTAAAAAGGCATGTATCGGTAAGTATTAAAAAAAATGCACTAAAAATATGAATTAGTTAAACACCATTTCATTAAAAATAGAAACGGAATACTGTATGCAATGTATATGTTATGAAAGAAAAAAAATCTACAATAACAAAACATTCAATACAGAATTAATTTTAAAAAGGCCAGATGGAGAGTGGAATGTGTTGGTTTTGTCTAGATAGACTGCTGAAATGTTTGAAATAAATATACAGAGTCAATTAAATTCAGGGTGGCGGGCAACAAGTAAACAATCTCAGAGGAACCGCCAAGAAGAATTTGTAAATATCGAATTGTGGTTTTTGGAATCAGTGTTTTTACTTTTCATATTCATCCCTTTTTAAAAGCAACTTAATAAGAACTTGTTGATCATAAACTGGTATGTTTAAGAACGTTAAATATCATGTTTACATTGCCATCTATTTTGGGAGCACGCAGCTTCTTTAAATCCACACACACAGACACACTCTCTCTAACACACACGAGATGATGAGAAGACATGGTTGGGTTTAGTCGTCCTCCTCTTTAGCTTGAGAGAGTGCTTTCTCTGAGCTCGCCGAGCCCTCGAAGCGCTGGGAGGCGATGGCAGCTTGATGGGACATGCTCTTCCTCACAACGTCTCCCTTTCTCCATAGCGTAATCTCCTAAAAATCCACAAAAGTGTCAATTCATACACAAAACAGATCATGCTCTGGGCATTTAATAGTTAAAATATCACTACTGCTATGGAAACGAGAATGAACCCTTAAAATCAAAGTGGCCAAAGTAGTTATTTCTGGACATCAATAATGAAAATTAAAGTGCCTTCTGAAAATGAACCATGGTTTTACTAAAGTGACCATAGTACAACTGTAGTATTTATAGATTTGAATCATGTGTAAACAAAAACACATTTGAACCATGTGTAAACAAAAATATAACCTAATAAATTACAATTAAGGCGTATTGAATGTTAAAATGTGTTTTAAACAAAGTTAAGTGGTTATCCTTACCCATTTTACTCTTAGTAATTTAATAATTTAATACATTTCATCATTTAAAAGTTTAGTTCAGAAGTATCGTATCGGTATCGATAGCGAAAATACTGCCTTGAAAAATATCGGTATCGTATCGAAAATAGGGATGGGCGTATCGATCCAAAGTATCGATATATCGATACTGACGCGAGTATCGAAAGTATCGATACTCAAACAAAAAATATCGATACTAAGGTGCGTTTTACTTACCAGTGGTTTTGTTTATTTAACAAAACAAAAAATAATAATAATGCGTACAATATGCATTGAATTGGACGAATAAAACAGGAAAAAAAACATAAAAGTTTGAGTTATGTCACAATAAACAAATTGAAATTGTAGTTTGTGCAATTACAATTATTTAAATTGAACCTTGAAAGATTATATCGATCATGTTCTATTCTGTAATGTTAATAGAAATCATACACTGTCAGAATAAAAAAGTTGCAGTTTATGCATGCAACAGCCTGTCACTGGCAGTCCCTAATGGCAGTACAAAATATTGCACTAAATCAAAAGTTCAAATGTTACAAACAAGTTAGAATATTAATGTTGTAATACTGGTAGCACTAATATAAAAATGTGATGATATATGTTACAAAAAAGTAACAATTTTGAAATACGTTGATGGTTGTATTTTATTGTATTTGATCTCAGTATTCCTATCAATGTTGTGTAAGGTTTTTTTTATGCATAATAGTAACCCTAGAATGTGATCAAAAAGTTTAAAATAGCCAGGCTAAGATATATATATAACTATTTTTATGACTGCAGAAATATGTTAATTCAGTATACACATTATCCCACCGGTTACAATTGTGACTGACCATAAAATAAAATTTTTCACACACTTTTCCCCAAATTTTTTTTTTTATTATTTCAAAGGGTTACTAATGACGCATCATTTGGATATTTTCATGTCTGGGAACAATGTGGGATTAAACGGGTTAAAATGCGTTTTAAACAAAGTTAAGTGGTTTTCATTACCCATTTTACACTCAGTAATTTAATAATTTCATACATTTCATAATTTAAAAGTTTAGTGCAGAAGTATCGAATCGGTTTCGATATCGACGATACTGCCTTGAAAAATATCGGTATCGTATAGAAAACAAAATAAGTGGTATCGCCCATCCCTAATCGAAAACAAAATAAGTGGTATCGCCCATTCCTAATCGAAAACAAAATAAGTGGTATCGCCCATTCCTAGTGTGGTTCCTATTATGCCGCCTTTTTTACAAGAGATTGGAGTCGACTCATTTCGGAGAATCGGTTCTTTTGAACAATTCGTTTCAAAGAACGGGATAAAATAACTTATTTGTTGCACATAGTACTGCTCATTATGGGTTTTATTTATACGAGTGTTTTATTTTTCCATTTAATCTGTTCCCCTTCAGATTGTTGCAGCCATGATTCAGCTAACATCGCGACATTTACATTCGATTTCCATTAAACAATAACAACATTTTATTTATCGTTCTTAACTGAAAAAGTTAAGGCTATTTTTAAGTCCAGCTCCTTTTTGGTTGATAAACCATTTCCAGTACAGGTTTTACAACTTGTAACATTTCTGCTTTTTAAAAATCAACTTATTTTTCGCCTCACTCATCAGTTCTCGACTAGTGAGGGACAATGTCCGACCAGCGGTTCTCTCGGATCAACAGGTCGGTGAGTTGTTGGTTGAATTCGGAACAGCATACTTGTGGATTACTCTTGCTATTTCTGTAATATACAGATACGCTCAGAGCGATTTCTGAAAGATTCATTGCGAATCGTGAAGGAATCATTAGGACAGGCTTTGTGAACCGGTTCGTTCGGTTCACTGAAAATATCCAACTCGAAAGAACGATTCGTTCACGAATCAAAAATGTGTCATATGTCACGAGACTAGGTGTTTGTAATTTGACACTTCAACATATTAACATGATATTACTTAAGTCTGGATCCCCCTTAATGAAACGTGCTTTACAAAACAAGTGTGCCCGCGACACCTCCAAACAAACGAACACAGATGTAAATGTTGAATTGTCACATACTCACATTACAGCACATACGTTGCGCCATCAAGCATCGCTCGTTCAAACGTTGTACTACTTACCGATTTGCCCGATAAATTCTATTTTGATCCCTTGATGCTCGAGCCTCTTGCCTGGGTTCTTTAGGGTTACGTTGACTTTCCCAGAGACTGTCTCTCCATCGTAAAACAGGAAGTATTTGTCCTTTTTCCCGTCCTCTGTTTTGTGCTCGACCTTTTTTCTCGTCTCGGCATCATTTAGAACTATGTCAATTTCGGCAGTTTGTCCGAAACTGAAGAAGCTCATCCCGACACCTAGTGCTGGACTGGAATCCTTTCGTATTCTAACACCTGGCCCAATTCCACATCAATACAATTCCGTCCTGTTCACAAGCGAGCTGCTTTATCTTCTGCAATGCATGTACGTTTATAATAGGCTGTTTAAAATCAATTTGAGCGAATTCTTCATATGGCTACAGTTATTAACACATGCAGAGGATTTTTCTCAGCAATGTACAAACAGGCACAAGCTTCAGAAATGAATTTACTTCCGGGATAGTGTAGTCCACGTACATTTTCTTTTCAAAATAAAAGTCTTAAAGAGACGACTGAAATCAAATCTAGCAACAAATTGAATTGAATTTACCAAGAGTCAAATGTACGTAAGAGTAGTTGTATTTAGGAGTTTTACATATTTTAATTTTTAATCATTTGATGCACACAAAATGTTGTTTTATACCCAGGGGTGCACATAAGGGGTGCGCATACGCGACCAAAATAAAAAAATGCGATGTGTAAATTATGTTCAGTCCGTTCATTTGCGTGTCGACAGCTGTTAATGCACAATCGCCTTTTTAGATCGATTAACTGTGGTGCTGTATAAGATTTCCACTCACAGCGAAAGCATAAATCTATAGAACACATCAAAACTGATATTTCTTCTTATGCTGTTTAATGGCGGTTGGCAAACCAGCTTTTGGTGCATTTTCCGCCACCTACTGGGATGGAGTGTGAGGCGATGATATCAAGGGAAATGCTAATTCCAAAAAAAAAAACTCTACCTATATTTTATTATATAAATTGGTTCTTTTCAGAAAATTAATAAGAGCTTTATAACCTTTATGAGAACTGTTTAACACATTCTGTAATGTCATAGAATTAATGCCGGCAGATTTTAATTACTCTTCTAACTGTATTCTTTCCCTTTCATATGCCCTACAGTTAATCAGCACATGCTCTACAGTTTCTGGAAGTCCACAATGATTACATTGACCAGATTCATGTCTTCCTATCATCTGGAGTGATTTATTAAGAGTAGAGTGTCCAATTCTCAATCGCTATATAACTGTATCATCCCTTCTATTACCATAAGCAGTTCTTACATGTCCTACTTGTTTATTTATATTATACAAATGTCGC